GGACAACAGAAACATAATCCATTTGTAGCTTGGTAGGACCTGCCAAAGCTTACACTCTATTGACATAGTCCTAAAGAAATCAGTCATCATCATGCGACAATGGAGGACTTTCGAGGAGGTCAGAAGTGATAATATGATTTAAATGGATGTAGCATATTTATTCAAGGATATAGAATGAAATATGAACCAATAGTTTCAACCAAATATGTTAAGTCTACCCTGAAGGAAAAGGAGATTGGACATGAATCACAAAAGTCTTATAGACTTCAAATAGCATGAAATGAAAATCTCAATGAATGCTAGTTTGAACTAGAAGTGTCAGTTCACACTGGGACTATTTAAGGGCTTCTGATTTCAATTCACTCTGGTCATGCTCCCCGTTCTTCTTCCTCCCTTTTGTACAGAGCTGAATATTCTATTCCTGGATGAAATTCTTAGAATCACAAGATGTGCTGGAGAAGTTCCAACTTAAAGTTGGAACAAATCTTAGAGGTCAACTCTCATTTTTCAGATGAAGAAACTGAGGCCTAAGGAAGTGAAATGACCTGCGTAAGGTCCAACGAGTCAGTACCAGAATGTAGACTAGAGATTTCTCTAATTTTAGCCTGGTGCTCTTTTAACAACATCCTGTTTCCCTGTGAAAACATATTTTTATAGGTTGTTTTTCCCCCCAACAAATTCCACTACTATGCAATATTGTTTTTAAATATATATAGAAGGCTAATTTTTAATCTGGGTATTGAATGCATTTATAAACCCAATGCATGATTAGCTCATCTTGTCTGATCACAAAGCTGACAGGACCAAAGTCACTGGTTTGATCCCCAAGGGCCAGTGGGTTTCAGTCTGTTCCATGGTCATAATTCCTCCTCACTCAGTCACCTTAAAGGTTCATCCCCAGTCAGTCACCTTACAGACACATGATAGTGGTGACAAGAGGCACCTAGCTGGAGTAGGTGGATGGATCTGAAATGCTGATCATCACTACTGGAAAACTGGCTAAAGTATCATCATCTTTCTATAATGAGAGTATCACCTTAAATTTTGTAGCCCCATGGTGTCTACTATATATACAGTACTTTATGCTTTTCCATGCCTGGCATCCTTTCCCTCCTTCCCTCTGCTCTCAGAAGCTTCTTTTAAAGCTCACCTGAGATGCTATGACCTCTATCAAACCTTTCTTGATTTCTCTAATTCTTAGAGCTCTCTCTCTCCCCTACTCAAACTGTCTTATACTGATGTGTGTATATGTTATGTTACTTTCATAAAATGTAACCTACTTTTTAAGTCTTTGTATCTCTAGTGCCTATTATAGTACTTTACATACAATAGGTGCGTAATAAACAGATGCTGAATTTAATTGAATTACACAGGATAGGTACTAAATAAACATTCTAAATTAATAAAAAGACTACATTATTAATATCAACCACTCATACAATGCTTTAAAATTTGCAAAGTACTTAATAAATATCTTCTCATTTTATCCTCACAACAACTCTGGGAGATAAGTGCTATTAAAATCTCTATTTTACAGTTGTGGAAACTGAAGCAGAGAGAGAGAGGGTAAGTGATCTGCCCAGAGTCACACAGTATCTAAAGACAAATTTGAACTCAGGTCTTCCTGACTCCAGGTCCAGCACTCCATCTACCATACCATTTAACTGCTTTTATTATTATTGTTTTTGTTGCTATGTGAAACAAATCATTTAATTTTACATGAAAGCAATTTGTTATGGTATAATCTTACTGCAAGTTTAAATTTTGTACTTCCATGTAAAAATTTTTAGAGAAGGCTTCTATTATGCGAAGTTTTTGGTGTGGGGGCTCTCTTCAATTCAACAAGTGGCAACCCCTCCAAGCTTTTCTGCATCATACAAAATTCTTTTCCAACTCTTCTCATACATTCACTACAGTAGATCCAGCCTGGTTTTGTTTTTAATATTAAATAATGATAAACATATAAAACAAAGGGTAAAATCTTAACCATTAACATTTAAGAAGGAAGAATCAAATGATAACAAACAAGAAGACAAGCACTTTTGTCTCTTGTTCCTTCCAGGTTTGCCTTTGGTTCTGTTTTTCTTCCCTCCTTACTTGCCTTTTCTTTTTAGAACACAGAATTGTATTCACTGGGTAGACAGTTCTGGTTCAGCTGATTTTGCTTTACATCCCTTCAAATAGGTTTTTATATCTATCCTTTCACTATTTTAATGACTCAGAGGTACCAATGTTCGGGTTGCTTTCCATTCTGCTGCTTTTCCTTCTTTCTATTTGATTAATAACCTTCCTTTTCCAGTCAAACACTTCTATGATGAGATCTCCTAAATCACTTCTGCATGTCATCATTGATAACATACTGCAATCTCCTTTCACCCACCACGTCTCTCTTTGATTGTCTTTCCGGTTACTTGCAATTCTGATTCTTTCAAGATCATGGTGTTCCATGATTTATAGTCAAATAACAGGAGGATATTAGTATTAAAAAGATGGACTTTCACAACAGCAAGCATTAGGTACAACTGAAAGCACCAGGCAATTTCCTAAATGTGATCCAGTCTAAGTCTCCCTCTCCCATGAAATTCTGTACCAATCTCATTGTCATTGCAGAGCCTCTCTAACTATCTATCTACTAAACTTAATAGGTTACATATCACAGTCTAGTCAACATGCATTTTTCATCCATTTTGGTTTTCAAGTGTGGATAGTTAAAACAATCTCCTTTACATTGCTTTGGAATTCACTAAAAAGACCTTAGAAGTGTTCTAGAGCTCAATGCAACTGATTATCAACTGCGAAAAGAAGCACTTTGGAGAACCTCACCACCAATAGGAATCCTTCTGTTTTGAATGAACAGGACACTTACCAAGACACTGGCAATTGCCTTATATAAGCAGATGTCTTCTTTTAAACTTTATTTAATGTCAAAACTCAGCAGATGGTTGAACATTTCCTTAGTAATCATATCTATCAGTCATGTATAATTTTAACATGTGCATATGAGATATTTTTTTGAGGAGGTCCTCCAAGGCTGTACTTCATTCTACTGAGTTAAGTACTTTTGAAATATCAATAAATAATAGAGTAGATCTTATGTTCTCTGAAGAAATTATGTATTTATAAATGTGGTCAGCTACAGAAAATTGTTAAAGCCTACTTGTTCCCTAATCATATTATTTTATCAGGTTTATTTTATGACTATGGTTATCATTTAAATATGTGCATGTTTATCTAATGTCTGCTACGTGTAAATGAAAATGCTATGGGCTATAGTGATAAAAAGAGAGATTAAGACTGGGCTTTTGCCCTTAAAAAGCTTTCAGTATAGTAGGGGAGATACGACATATAGACAAAATAAACACAACACAAAGTTGAGCATGATAAATACTTGAAGGTTACAAACAAATGTTACGGAAATTCAGAAAAGGAAGAAATCACTTTTGACTAGAGGATCTCAGAGAAGACTTCATGGACAAAACGGCACACAGGTGAGGTCCTGAATATTAAATATTAAATAACAGGTAATGAGGTGGGAGAAGAAGGATATCTGAGGCAGAGAGAATAGTGTAAAGCAAAAGTATGAAAGAACAGAATATTCTTAGGGAATGGTAAATTACACTGTTTGCCTGGAGTACAAGGGATATATTAAGGAGTAAGAAAATATTTTTTTTTCTTCTTGGTCCAAATCTGTAATTTCATTGGCATAGGAAACTTCTGATGAGGAATTTATTTTTACTAATATAGTTCAACACCTATTTTGCAACTCAAAATATCTGAGAGCTCTCTAGGGCACTGAGAGCTTATGTGTCTTGCTCAGTCAGGTTCACACAACCAGGATCTGCCAGAGGCAGGACCTATACCCAGGTCTTGCTGACCTCTGAGGCCAACTGTCTACCAACTGTACCATGCTTCCTTATGAAGTGGGAGAGATTTGTAAAAAGAGGCAAGGAGAAAATCATGAAAGAGTATGTTAAATGTTGACTGAAAAGTATACTATTTGAAGGGAGAAAACATTAAAAGATGAAAATTGGAACTGAAGAATTTGGACTTTCAAGGTTCCAAGCATGTCTCAGATTTGTGGCCTTGCTTCTATGTAGCTTACTTGTACAAGACACATTATATATATGATCCTAAGACATCCAATTTTTGATAATTTTGGCTGAATTTTACCTTAGAAAATCACATATGTGGGTAACTAAAATGTATACGTTGGCATGGCATCAATTGCTGGGTCATGAAAAATTCTAGAAAGTCATGGATTATTGCTCCAGTAATATACTGAGAATCTGAAAATGGAGACTTGATATAATGTATGAAAAATAGTGAGCTTTAATGGGTCAGACACTAAATGTGTCACTTAAAAGACATGCTCAAACTTAAAGTGGGTGGAAGAAAACAGTGATTACCTTATTTCACTGGTAAGGTACTGGGAAATCTGCATAATGCCTTGATAGTCAGATGAAGAAAACACTTCAGAGTGGTTATGAGTGAAAAATACAGATGGAAAGGAATAGGGGTAAGGTCCAAAGAAAACTGAATGCAGCTTGGCTAACAGCTGTGTTGAAAAACAATTTCTTATCTTGCAATTAAGAACCGATTTCTCACTGAAAGACACAGGACATTGGGTTAATAGATTTCTTTAAAAGAAAATCTGTTTTGGCTATTGAAACATTAAAAGAACAGAACAGCTGTTTTGTCAGTAAAGACAGATTGTATAGAAGAATCAAATATCAAACCACAGATTAGACTAGCATTTAATCTGTTCTACTTAAATTTTCAATAAAAGTAAAGGAAATTACATTCTGGAAAATATAGCACTGCTAAAAATTTTAACACTAGTAATCAAAACCACTAGGTTGATTTTAGGGCATAAGAAGAGGTAACTATTAATATGTTTTAATTATTTTTTAACACCCTACTCAACGCCTATAGCAAATGAACATTTTAAATCGCAATGTCGATAAAGCTATTTTAGGAATGATGCAAGATGTAAAACTCACCATCCATGAATTCTGTACATATTGAAATCCTGTTTTCTACAAAAAATGCACCATAAAATCCTATAATATATGATGAATCACACTATAAAAAATAAGACAAAAAAGTAGCTTGGTTAAAAAAAAGAGGAGGAGACAATACTGAAAACATGTTTAAAAAGTAGTTACTGGGAAAATGATTACCTTATAAAGAATTTCCAATTCAGACATAATTTGTTTTTGAAGTTCCAGTGTAATATCTAGCAATATCACCTAGCACAGAAAAAAAAAGCCAATTATTACCTGTTTGTTCTGTTCCAAATTAAAACTTGTGCAGAACTGCTATGTAATATAAGAATTAAAAAAAGGATTCTCTACCACCATCAACACCTCATCCTCATAACAAACTGCATATACACATCTGTCTATCACTTTGGACTGGGGGAGGTGGTACAGAAATGATTGATGGGGCAGGGGAAAAAGCCAGGTCTTCAAGGTCAGCATTAATGGCTTTAAAAGTCAGTTAAGTCATCACACCCTTAATTTATACACCCTATTTTGGCCACATTGGTTATTTTCGGAGGAGGAAGATAGGAGTGACTTGTACCTATTAACCCTCAAACCATTAAAAGAGAATGTCTTGTGATTCACACACTGGAAGATAAGCACACAGGATGACAGATATAAATGTCATTTAAAGTTGGTCTTTTGCTTATAAGAACAAATAAGTCACCAAAATCTATTTTTTTTTGCATAGTAAACATAATATAAAGCTTTAAAATATTTATGTTGATCAAAAAGCTTTACACTATAATACAGAAGAGTACCAAATAAGTTTTAGAACTGGAAGAGACGTTAAAGATCATCTAGACCAGAGGTTCTTCACCTTTTTCTAAAATGAACCCCTCTAGCACTCTGCTGAAGTCTGTGGATCCCTTCTCAGAACGATGTCTTTAAATGTGCAATATAAAATACATAAGATTACCAAGGAAACAGTATTGAAATAAAGTTATCAAAATATCATTAAAAACAAGTTCACAGACCTCAGATTAAGAACCTTTGAGCTACATCAACTCTCATTTTATGGATAAAGAAAATGAGGCCCAGAGATGTGAAGAGATATGCTCAGTTCACATAGCTACTAAGTGGCAGAACAGAGGTCAGTTACAAGCCCTCCAAGACTTCCATTCCAGGGCTTTTTCCACTATACCCTGGTGCTATAAGTATGAACATATTAAAAAGTATTTCCAAGTGAATATAAAATGAATATAAAATATTTTATTATACAAACACCTATGTTTAATTTCTTTTAAATGTTAAATGTGTAAGAGAGAGTATACACTGATGAAAGCAAATATCTTCTCAAGCATTTATTATATATTAAAAAGATTATCAGTTATTTAAATTTTACTTGGCTCTTCAGTTAAGGGCAATGATTACTCTTCTGTATAAAAAAGAGATTCAGCTAATAAGAAGAAAACTATAGAAAGGCATTTTTTTTTAAGAAAGGTGGCCAAGGTTTCTACTTTAGGCAATATGTGGGGGGAAAAAAGAACTTCAAGCTTGGAATTTCCAAATAACACTAAATATACTTAGTGTCCTGCCATAATGGTATACACCACCCAACAGTTAAACTTCACTTTATGTTAGAAAAGGAGAGTAAATGTAATCATGTTGGAGAATTAATAGAACATAAATTATGGACTTCATCCTGCTGATAGAACTAAGTGAGGAAAAAAGGGCAATTTCCAAACACACATCTTATAGAGTATTGACATCCATCTAAAGGTAGAAAAAAAACCAAAAAAGCATAACTAGTTTCTATCAAGAGTTTGCTTTAGGGTTATTTATAAAAGCTCTCACCAAACTAGATTGTAAGTGTAATACAGGACTGCCAAGAAACATTTAACACGCTTCCTCCGATCAATAGTCACTTGCCAACAATATTCACTTACATTTTTTTCTTACTGTAGAAAATTTAGCAGCAAAATAAATTCTTCTAGCACTGTATCAATCTTAAACCATTATAATATTAGGACTATACAACCCTATTTCAAATACAAGGAATATTTTCCTCTAATAAACTAGGTTAAACCTTAAGGTTTTCAAAATAATCATTAATTTAATTCTTACTATGACTGCTAGCTAGTATAGTATTATCAAGTTGTCAACCAAATATCATGCAGCTGTGTTCAGCTTCTCAGAATTAAACCAAAATTCACATTACAACTCTAATCTTCACAGTTAGATGTTTTTGGATGGGGAAAATGGATGTACTTTACTTTTCCAGCAATATTTCAAATGCCACAAAAACTAAGAGGTAAATTGGAAAGATCAACCAGAATTCTAATTCTACCAAATCCACTTTGCTCATTTAGATTCCATAAATTTAAAGTATTTAACTCTGATATGCTGGTTTCACATTATGGTACCAGCCTCCTAAATATAAATGTTTATTTATTTATTTTTCATCTGCAGTATTCCAGAATTAAGAATTCTGGGTGGGGCAGCTAAGTGGCACAGTGGATGGTGGAGTCAGGAGAACCTGAGTTCAAATCTGGCCTCTGACCAGACACTTGACACTAACTAACTGTGTGACCCTGGGCAAGTCACTTAACTCCAATTGCCTTAAAAAAAAAATTCTTGGCTCCATAGTGGGTAAGGATAATGTCATCTGGATGATCTTGAACAGGAAAATAAAGTTGATCCTTAAACCATACTGCTTCTGGGAGATTTACTACTATAGAAGAAGTTAATTTTCATTCCCCTATGTATTCTTATGAGTAATCATTAAAACGCTAAGAAGCAAAGTCAATTTCTTATTTGATATGGACCATCAATAAAATAAGCAAAATATTAAATTTCTGTTTAAAGTATTTGAAAAAAAAACCCAACAACTATGGACAGCTTGAGACTAGCTTGAGGTGGTTTTTACACCTCACCCTTCCCTCCTACCCCCCACCTAGGGTTAAACAGTTGAAATAGAAGAGGATTTGAATATTAAGTATTTCATGAAGAAAGGGTTAAATCTAAGCCTGAAATACCTGAGTACATTTCTTCTGCTCTCCACTACACCTCCAGGACAAATAAGGATGAGTTGTCAAGTTAAATACAAGCAGTCAAGTGACTGAATTATAATTTACTCTGTGCTCAATTTAAATTAGTGTGAGGCTATTAAAATATACAGTATAAATACGGCAATTCATCACAAGCTGTCATGGATGACTTCATTTATTTGCTAGAGTGGCATACGTTCCACTGAAGGGAAGGAGAGCAAAATCACAGGTCAAATTAAGCTGCTACTCTGTTTTAATTCACTTATTTAATCTATGGCGACATAATTGTCTTTTACAGTATGTACAACTCAGAAAGGAAATTTGGGAGGATTACAGTCAGTATACAAATGATTAATCAAATGGTCCATTTAAATGCTAGCTTAAGAGCAGCAGAAACCCAAAGCAGTTGAAGAATGATAATCAGCGCATGCTACATACTATGCTATGATTTGTTTCTCTTGTAGATGGATTTTTCCCAATTAGGAGGAAAAAAAAAGCAATACTGGGGAATCCATTAAATCCTCCAAGCATTACCTAGATGAAAGATTTTTATAGAATACTTTAATGGTGTAAAAAGGTTTAGTTTGCAAGTTGGATAACGGTATTTTATATGTTTTTCTTGCTCTATTTACTTGCAATTTTCAAGACTACCTATAACAAAAATGGTAGTTACTAACAGATTTCATGAATTATAGTCATTGTCAAATAATTACCCTGCAGTGCACTGGTGATTAGTTAGTATTACTTTCAGTATGTTTTCTTTGGTGAAAAGATTTCTAAATTTTATGGCAGCAAAGTTAAAATTAAATGGAACCATTATTTTTTCCTAAAAATTTAATTCGTTTTACATTGTCAATCCCTTTTCTTACACCGATGAAAACTAGGCATTTCATCACTGATTTTTTTTTTTAATCCAGGCACCGAAAACTACAGAAAGTTACTGTTGCATCGGATATCAGGTTACTGACTCCAATTAAGAAGTTTAGTTCAGAAAGGAGAGCACTAACCAGGGCTTTAGCTTTCATTAAGCTAGTGAGCATGTTAAAGAAGTTGCTGTACAATATTTCTAAGTATTTTTACTGTAAAGAAAAAAAAAGTTTTCTAGGGCTCTCCTCTAATTGCTCCCACAGGCAGACAAGGGTCTAACTTATCATCTGATTTGGGAAAATGAATTTCACTCATTCTAGAGAGTCACCAAAGTTCTATAAGTTCATTTTTCTGAGAAAAAGACTGATTTGTTACTGTTCACAATATACCATTATGACATATGACACTCTTATTTCACAGTTGAGGTCACTGAGAAGTATAAATGCCATTCTTAAAATCATACAAAAAGTTAGAAGCAGAGCCAGGAGAAAACAAGTATACTTCAAACTCTTCACTTCATTTCGCCCACTAGTATAAGGAAATGACAGCTGGCGAAGACCAGAGGATCATAAAGGTCAATATTTTGTCTCTGCCAATGGCAGTACCATGACACATTTTGGAAGTGGGTGTGAATTGCTTCCATGATATCACCTCTAAAGACCAGAAATTCATTCCACAAATATGTATTGAGCACCTAATATGAAAATGATACTACAGTGGAGCATAGAAAACAGACATGCTTTTGAGGAGCTTGTGTCCTAAAAATAATAACTCTTATTTAAGTAATGCTTAAAGGTTTGCAGACTGTGGGAGCTAAGAAACATACGCTAATAATTATAACACATAGCAACATGTGATAAGTCCTAAGAGATGTACAAAGTACAACAGGTGCCCAGAGGACAGAAAGATCTGAGAAGAATAGGAAAGGTTTCATGAAGAGGCAGTATATAAGCTAGACCTCAAAGTGAAGATGGGATTTGAATAGGCAGAGATGGGGTGGGGAAGAGGCCAGGATTCCAAGCAAGGGGCAAGAGTTAAAGGCACAAAGGCAACACAATTCAGTTTGGGTTCAATTAATAGCAAACAGTCCAGTTTGGCTAAAGCATAGGATAGGTTATATAGAACAGGAAGAGATAAGGCAGGAAAAGCAGGTTGGAATAAAATCTTCTGTTGTTGTTCAATCTTTTCAGTTGTGTCCAACTCTTCATGGTGCCTTTTCGTTGTTTTTTTGGCAAAGACACTAGAGTGATTTGCCATTTCCTTCTCCAGCTCATTTGACAGATGAAGAAACTGAAGCAAACAGGGTTAAGTGACTTGCCCAGGGCCACACAGCTAGGAAGTATATGAGATCAGATTTAAACTCAGGAAAATGAGTCTTCCTGACTTCAGGCCTTGCACTTTATCCAGTTTGCCACCTAGCAGCTTCAGAGTCAAATCTCAGAGGGCCTTAAACGGCCAGCTGAGAGACTGGGGTTTTATTTGGTAAGGAATGAGGGAATCATTTCAGGTTTTTAACCAAGAAAGTGGTACGATCTGGGCTATGTTTTAGGAAGATTAATCTGGTAACAGTGTATAGGATGAATTTAAAGCAGGAGTAAGAAGAGAGGCAGGAGGCAGGCAAACTAGTAAGAGGCAACTGGAATAATGCAGGAGACAATTAACGTGGATCTGAAGTTGGGTGACAGTGATGAGAACAGTATGAATGGAACAGATTCATGAAATAGTCACCAAAAGAGAAGAATCAATAGAATTTGGTAACTGGTTGTGGTAGGAAAGGAAAGGGTCAAAGATGACCATCTAGCTTTAGCTCTGAATAAATGGGAGTTTAGGGGTACCATTAAAATAAAGGAAGTCAGGGGAAGAAGTTACTTTGAAGCAGACAATGACTCAGATTTTAGATATAATGAATTGGAGGTGCTAGCTAGCAGGATTCCCAAGTCATAACATGAAGTCAGAAATGCTAGGTTAGCACTCAGGAGTGGTCAAGGTTAGAGATTAGGATTTAGAAATCATTTGAACAGAAGTGATAACTGAAGCCACAGGAGTCAAGAAGGAATTGCAGAGAAAAAAAAAAGTGCTGTATTTGGGGACCTGTGTTCAAATCCCACCTCTGCCACTTACTACTTGTGTGATCTTAGGTGAGTCACTTGACTTTTCTTTGGGACTCAGTTTCCTTATCCATCAAATTGTGTATAGGGAGATGGGGAGTGATAGATAAGTTTAGGTCCCTCACATCTCTAAATCTATGATCCTAGAATCATTAAAATTGTTGACTCTGGGGTACAGATTAGGTAGGGATTCCAAATCAAAAGTGGGATTGATGTACTAGAAAAACAGAGAAGGATTATTTCTAAATCTCTTTCCTAGATCATAACAGCTTAAAATTCATCAATTCAGAAGTATTATTTGCATTATTTTTTCCTAAATTTATTGTCCACCTACTAATAACGAAGTTCCTTATGGGCATATGGCCAAAGGTGGGAGGGTGGTGTTACTTTTTTTGCCCATTCACAAATTTTTTTTTCATAATTTACTTCTATTTATATAGTTGTTTCACTACCCCAGAGAAGATTACTGTCATCTACAAACATGTATATTTCACAGCATATACTTTTCAGCACATTCATAAAAATGTTAAAAAAGACCCTTCCCTTTGAAAAATCCAGACACAACTCTCTCTATATATATCTATATCTATATCTATATCTATATACACACATACATACATACACACACACACATATATACACACAGATATATATGTGTGTATGTATGTATGTATGTATGTATGTATGTATGTATGTATGTATGTATGATTTGATTCCAAGCCTTTATTCCCTTCTCTAAACTAAGTTCCTATTTATGACAGAAGCTTTCCTCCAATATCCAGTTTAGTATGGCGCCTGTCTCTTCTGGGAGGCTAATTCCATTATGACCACTGACCACCTGCTCCTGCCCTTATGTTTTACTTACCCTCCTCTCTAAGCCCTCAATCTCTCAAAGAAGCCTAGTAGATTAGTAGGGCATGATTTCTCCTTAGAGAAGCCATGTTTTCTTTCCCTCAAAAGGTTATCCTTTCATAAGTTTTCAGCAATCCTACTCTTCATTTTCCCTTTCACTGGTCTGCAGTTCACTCTATAACCTTTATTATGGATGAGCATTACACTGGCAAATCACCAATCCATTAGTACAGTGGTCCCATGTAACCAGAATCATACAATTTAGTGAAGAGTTTTACAAATGCAGTCTGTTTCTTTAAAAAACAAAGCAAAACAAAACAAAACCAGGTATGTGACAATATGATAAATCTTTCCTTATAATTTATTTACATTTGTCAATTCTAGAACAATATATGCATTTAGAATTACTTATTCTAATAGCTGTAATTGAAAACATTATTCAGAAAATACAAAATAAATTTATTATTAGCCCAAGCAAAACACAATAAAGCAAATCTACTGCTAAAAAATATAATGTAACATACTCTAAAGCAGACATTAACAAGTCTCACTGCTCTCTTCTATTTTTGTAAATAATTGAGAGTTAACTACATTTAACAAAAACATCCTAAATAACAACCTAGCTTTCTCTGAATCCACAGGATGTCACAGATTTGAGTCAATCAAAAAACATTTATTTAGTGCCTACTCTGTATGAGGCACTGTTCTACATGTTAGAGACATAAATAGAAAGAATGAAAATCTCTGCTCTCAAGAAGCTCATATTCTAACAGGAATTAAACAAGAGACAAATATGAAAAATAAAGGAAAGAAATCTAAAGAAACTCTTGGTGACTGCTTGATAAATCTCTACAGCCAAATCACTTATGAAGTTACAATGACTACGGTAAAAGATTTGGGAAGCATATGCAGAGAAATGAAAAGATTGTGTTTGGAGAGAATTGTACATAATATTCTAAAAAATGTCAAGACAGTGACTAGATAGAGAATGGAAATGTGAATTCAGAAAGAGAACTGGTTCTATTACTAATCAGACGTTTAACCTCTTTGCACCTCAATTTTCCTTATCTGAAAAATGATAGGGTTGGGGCTAGATGACTCCTGATTTTTCTTGAAGCCCTCAAAATCATAGGGTGTATCTTTTGGCAAATATCTCCAACAGTGAGCTTTGTGAACCTTTGGACAACTTACTAAAGACAAACTATTCAAAGCTACTAGACTGAAAAACGTCACTGAATGTAGTTTTAGAACCAACTGTATGATCAAAGGAATAGATAAAGTGACTAAAGTGGCTAACCTTTTCATTCACTCATTTTGGGGTGATTCTTATATAAGAACAATTCTAGCAATGTAAATGTTGCTATTTCGTTATATATAAATATATTACACTGCTGGAACACAACAAATCGCTGGTGATGATAAAGAAAGAGACTATTAAATATTTCCTAATTTACCACGATAAAGCCTTAGACAAACATGAGTAGGTACTTGGAATTACAAAAGAGGGCCACAGCTATTTCTAACTACTGCCTGAAGTAGATAGCTATCTTAACCTCTCTTCAATGACTACCTAATGCCCTAAATTTCTGCAATGACTTTTGGAGAAAGTCAGTCAGTCACAAAACATTTATTAAGTACTGACCAGATGCCAGACATTGTACTAAGAATGAAGTTTGAATGTAAAGGTATATTTAAAAATAACAAGTATAAGGCAGAGTAAGACAAAAGTTAGCATTAAGAATAATATTTTTTTAATGGAGAAAAAGATTATAAAACCTTTATTAGAGCTTACCTTTACAGCTAATATTTTTCCACTCGGGACATGATATGCTCTGGGAAAGAAAAAAATTAAATAACTTTTGAAAATAACTTACTGACACACTATAAATTCAATCATCATATCTATAATAATGTGCACTGACAGATTTTCAAGTAACACTAACAATGATAAACACCATTTATTGAGAACCCATCGTGTGAAACTGTGCTGAACCCTCAACAATTTGGAAGAAATACTAAATTTGTTAATATATGTTCTTAACTTCAATACTGTGATTTCAAGATGTGACTTCATCAGTGTGATTGATTTTACTGATGTAGAACACAAGTATTATATGCCATAGTAGATGTCCTCATCAGTTGATATGGCCAAAAAAAAGAAAAGAAAAAAAGGTATTACCTGGTAGGAAGCATTCTGGTGAAACACTGCACATATCCACACAAATTTTTAATGTTTTATTCTGTAACATACTCAGAAATTCTGAATTTCTGCCAAAATGACATCTGATGATAGGCATACCCTGATTAAAACCATCAGTTGATTCGGGGGGGGGGGGGAAGTACTAGAAAAAATAACAATAAGAAGGAAAGGAAAAGAAGCTATATACACAGGAACAAAATAATGGGCTGATGAGCTGGAGAATGGTAAAATAACAGGTAAGAAAAAAATTGTTTAAAGAAATGCTAGGAAGTAGGGCTTCCAGAAACTAAATGCTAAGAAATCACACTGAAACCTTCTACATTTAATATAATGTGGCCTTTTGAACCTAGACAGCATTGAATTCATCAAGCAAGTCATCCCAAGTTATCCTGTTATCCCAAGTCACTAAAAGGAAAAAGAAGCAAATCTGTTTGCTTAGACCCAAGATCTTGCCACATATAAGAGTTATATATATCCAGAGTTGGCTGTTCTTCAAGGCTCCATGACTGGTATGAGATGAGCATATCAAAGGCCAGGGAGGACAGTTTATCTATTCCTAATTCCATCACTGACAAAAAATCTCTATCTGTACTGACAAGCATTTGCAAAATCACTTTATTATACTCTCAACATTTCAATTGGTACTGTCACGTCAACCAAACTGGAGCTTCCATCTTCTTTCCATATGTCTAGTATGCATTAATGTATGTATATGTTGTCTTCTCCATTAGACTAAAGCTCTTTGAAGGCAAGGATAATTTTTTTTCTTTGTATCCCAGTAATTAGCATAGACCCTAGCACACAGTAAGTATTTAATAAATATTTACTGATTGCTTCTAAAAACAATGTACATTACCTGCACACACAAACCATTAACGTTAGTTTCCACTTCAGGCAGAAAGATTTGTCAGATTTCTCTGATGGGTAGGTGTTTTTAAAAGTTAGGTTCATAACTTTTAGTGATGAAACTTAACTGGAAACAACTTGCCATATTGTTTTAAGTATCAGGAAGAGATAAATATTTTGAAAGCATATGCCACCAAAGAGCAATGGCAAAAAGTATGGTGGGCATGAACTGGCTGCAGAAATTACAAATCAGGAATTTTCCAGGAGAAACAGCGTAAAGGCTGTAAACAGAGAAATATATGACTGGAAAAAAGATAGAATGGTCAGGTAGCCAAAGCAAGGGGAAACCAATAGCAAGTCAGCCTGCCAACTTCAGTGGTATCCACACCACATGAAAAGAACATAAAAGAGGCCTCTATTAGATGCAATAGAACCCTAATAGTGGACTTAAAGAGAGGATGTGGATAACAGTGGCACAACATGGACAAGTATGAATTTGTTGTGCTCTGTATCAGCAGAGTGTCTACATCAACGGTATCACATATCCACATCACTGAAATTCAGCTAACATCAGGACTTACTTGTAAGGTTTTGCTTATTTAAGTAACCAATATAATTGTAAAACTCTGGACATGCCACTAAGCCTCTAATTCAATGACTGTATAGATTCTTTAAGAATTAGACTTCATTACAGGTATCCTCACATTATAAGCTAAAAAAAAAGTATCCTTATAAAACAAATGCATTTGGGAGTGATTACTCACACTTCTGAAGTATTCTTTTGAGTTATAAAAGGATTTATTGCAACATTTTACTAAATAGTGAACTCAAGGGTATGTGAAATATGATTCAATTTACGAAGATTCAATGATATACAACTTTTCAGAAACTTACATTACATACTTTATAATGCTAGTTTTGGGGAACAGAACACACTCCAGGCTTGTAGCTTAGGTAATAAATTCAAATTCAACAAATAATGAATGTCAATCATGTGCAAGCCACTGTGCTGAGCTCTACACAAAGATGATGACCCTGTTTTCAAGGAAGTGACAACCACTTAAGAGGGGAAAAACCATTATTTACAAATAACCATGGTACAAAGAAGATCAAGAGGAATACAATAAAGTGATGGAGGCAAATTTCTATAATAAAATTGAAGGAAGAAGAGATTCATTTCCCCAGAAGGTACAGGCAGGAAGAATGGGTCAGTGAAGACTTCCTGGAGGAAGTCATCCTCACTTTTGAGCCTTCAAGGTAAGAAGGTATTTCAACAGATCATATGATCACCGACTTAAAGCTAGAAGGTCCTTAGCAGCTATTTAATCCAACCCCTTCATTTTACAGATGAGGAAACTGATCTCAGAGAGGGTGACTGACTTTGCCCAGGATCACACAGCAAATTAGCGTTACAGGCAAGATTTGAACACAGAATTTCCCAACTCCAAGTTCAGCACGTTATCTACTCTGCCACATTGCCTCTCTGAAGAGGATGGAAACAGGCAGCTGTTTCAGTGTCAGAATTTTAGATTATGTACGGTATGACAATTTAAAAAAAAAACATTTTATTACTGCATTTTAACCATATTTACTTCCCAATAATCCCTGCCACGGTACCCTATGAGAAACAATATAGCACAGTAGACAGAACATTGAACTTGGAGGCTGGAAAATATGGGTTCAAATCCTGCTTCTAATATTTACTAATGGTATCACCCATGGCAAAAGACTTAACCTTAGTTTCTGACTATTTAAAAGTTATCTGCAGCATTTATTTCACCTATAACATATGTGAAGTGTTTTGCAAACTTTATACTATTGTGTATCTCCCGTTGTGATCTTTTCTCCTAACAGAAGTTAAACAAAATTGACAGATACAATGACTGAGGACAGAGTAAGTAACACTATCCATCCTTAGTGTAATACCTTTTTACAGAGAGGAAAGGAATGTGTTCCAACATCAGTCATCTAGAACCAATATCGATTGCAATGAACACAAATTTTGCTGCCTTTTAGTGTTCTGTTCTGTTTTGTTTTTCTTTCATTTATATTTAGTCACTGCGTGTTTTCTTCTGGTATTGATTTCTCTACTCTGTGGAGTCTTCCCATACTTTTTTGAATTCCTTATACTGTCATTCCTTACAGTGCAAAACTATTCCATTCCATTTATATATAACAATGTGTTCATTCATTCAACCCAAATGATGGGTTCCTACTTTGCTTCTAGCTTTTAGCTACTACAAAAAATGGTTCTATGAATATTTTGGCAAATATAGTAACTGTACACATTCATTTCCTTAAGGAAATTATTTAACCCATGGTATGTATAATTGCATTTAATAACAAAACAGATAAGAGGATTCTGTTGTGCTCAGCAGCTCATTATCTGGCAGAAGAGTTCATCTGAAATGCAATTCAAAAGAACAGTTACTGTACTTGTATGTAAATGCAGGTAACACGTGTTAGAATATGATATCATTCCTTCTGTATTCCATTAATTAATGCCAATGTACTCTAAGTCTGAATGTTAAAATCACCAACTGAGAATGGTAATGTGAAGGTAAGACAGTTGAATACACAGACCAAGATTCAAGAATAAAAAATTTTAAAAACAGTGTCGTTACTCTGAGTAACAAGAGTGCAAAACATCTGGACTTTTGAGATAAGCAGCAGTGATAAGAACATGATCAGAAGATAATCTAATATATACTGTACTGGACAGTTTGGCAACTTAATTAGCTTGTTAAGAAAGCTGATCCCTTTTCCAAAAGAGAGATCTCATGTTTCCAAGCGAATTAAAAGGAAAGACTTGATGATTTAATTATGACGCACGCCAATTCATCCGTGGAAGTTTGGGTTAGATTTCGAGCAATGGAGAGATCCCTGGTTTGGTTTACAGTGCATTGACAGTACCAATTTAACATTTAATTATCATGAAGAATTGGATCACAAAGATGATGCTAGGCAGATGGGCAGAATATATCCCTCCTTTGCAAATGGCATGCTACTTGGGAGATAAGGAACTTGTTTACTTTAGACTGATACTGCATCTCAATTGTCTTGACCTTCCTCAACACATTAACTGTAAAGTGATTAATGAAGTTTGAATAGAAGCTTTGGTTACACCAAAAGACAACTGTACACCTCTTCAGTGTTTTAATTAACAGCTAACACTTCAAATTAGTCTGTAGCTGCCACAGTAATTACCTGTTCCAATGAGTGTATGGGGGAAACATTTTTTATAAGATTTTTTTAGTGCCTAGTTCATTTCCTTTATTAATTCAACTGAACAAACATTTAACCATTTACTACATATATCAAGCATAGTGTTTCACAGAGAAGGTCCAAAGATAAAGACAAAACAGTCCCTGCAAACGAGGAGCTTATACTGATAATACGCATACAGAGAATTCAACTTAAAGTGTGGGTGTGTATTCACATATACATACACACACACACACACACATATACACATAGTAAGTACTAAGTACTTGGTAGGGAGAACACTAACAACTAAGAGGATCAGAGAAGGAAATGGCTCTTGAGTTTAGCTTTGAAGAGAGATGGAGATTCTAAAAGGTAAAAGTGAGGAGAGAGGACATTTCAGGCACAGGCGACAAACTGTGTAAAGCAGAGTTTTTTATCCAGAGATGCATAGCCTATGGATTGATTTAACAAAGTACTTGAACCTGGATAGAGGGAAGAGGAATAACTAACTATATCTTGATTTTCACTAATTTTTGGTTTTCTTTGTAATTCCATGTATTTTATCTTGTGCATTTAAAAACATGATTCTGAGAAGGGGTTCACAAGCTCTATCAGATTGCCGAAGGGGTTCAGAACACAAAAAAAAGGTTAAGAATGCCTGGTGTAAAGGCAGATTCAATGTCATGGATAGAGAATAGGAAATAATACAGTTTGGCTAGAATGAAGGGAAAATAACATAAAATTAGTCTAGAAAGATAGGTTCAAGTTAGCTTGTAAGTTACTCAAGTGGTCTTAGGCAGGAGAGTGACAAATTGAAAGGTGTTTTAAGATGATCATTTCGGTAGCTGTGTGGAGGTTGGACGGGAGAGAGGAAATATTGGAAGCACTAGGACACCATCTATTACTGCAATCGAGTTGAAAGAGATGAGGACCTGAAGGTAGTGACAGAGACAAACGTGAATGTTATGGAGGCAGAGTTGGTAAGATCTGACAACTGACAAGATAGAAATGTCATAGATCTTAAAAAATTTCCAGTTTTCAAAATCAAGCATGGTATATTGGATGAGTAACTGGATCTGTAATTTCACTGGAAAAAAAGGAAACAAGCATTTACTATGTGTCAGGCACATTTGATCCTCACAATAAGTCAGGAAGGTAGGTGCTATTATTATTATCATCTTCATTTTACAAATGAGGAAATTGATGCAGACAGACTTTAAATGACTTGCCCAGGGTCACACAGCTAATAAGTGTCTGAGACTGCATTTGGAATCATGTCTTCCCAACTCCAGGCCTGGGGTTCTACTCACTATACCACCTAGCTGCTTAGTGGGGAACTCCCAAGTGAGAAAATTCCCTCTACCAAAGAAGATTGGCACTTTCCTTACACCAGCCGCTCTTTTAAAATTAAAATTAAAAATAAATAATGTTTTTAAAATGACAATAAATAAAAACAATAACAGGTAGTATTATGTTGTGATGAGTCAACCTAGAAGACGAGGAGTTTAAATTGGAATTTAAAACATTCTGATGTAGATGAAAATAATGTAGACTTACAAGTTTTCATTTTTATCTAAATTCTCCCTATTTGTACTTTACTTTACTTACACTGTCCAGGCCTTCAATTCAGTAGAAACAAACATCCCATGATCATCACAGCAGAAGAAATTTAATTTCTCCTTCTATTTGTATCAATGGTCAAAAAAGGTATTTCCTGAAATGTATACACAGACTTTCCCTTAAAGTGTGCAACAACAGATGTCCTACGTGAAAGAAATGAGACGATTGTTGAGTAAACTCCTGAAGTTCCTATTAGTTTCTAGATTAAACTGATAAACTGCTAATTTCCAACACACTAAAAACAGACTCTCTACTTTCTTCATTTTCAACCAAAATCAGAACCTAAAATCAAGAATGCCAATGAAAATTCATCTGTGCTTTAAGAACATCACTGATTAATCACCCAGGAGATATGACCTTAATTTTACTCTTCTATAAAACAACTCATGCCTTCTGGGAACATTCTATCAATGCAAGATCCAACCTGTTGTAGAATAGAGATTTATAGGGCAAAAGGAGTCCTACTGAAGTAAGATACTAAAAATACACAATCAGAAAGTCTTATGGCAAGTATTGAAAAACGCAGGGGACCACCTAGAATGCTGGATGTAATCAATAAATTTGACAACTTAAGGGAAATCATAGTATCTTGATGATGATGCCAAATATTTGAAAGAAATGTATATAACATCCCTTTACTTCCCCCAATGTTTTATCAGAACATGGAGGGGCCCTGGGTTCTTGAAGGCATATTTTACCAAGATGGACTATATGCTTTTCATTCGATGACCAACCAGCCTACTTAAGCATGGCTCATTACTAGGTAGCTGGCTACTAGGTCCATGAAACTGGATGGGAAAAAATATTACATCTTTATTTTCATTAACCTCTAACTGAAATTCGAATTTCCTTCAATTATTTAAAAAAACAATTCTGAGAAGGGACCCATAGGTTTCACAATGTTGCCAAAAGAGTCCATGACACACAAAAAGGTTAAGAACCCTTTATTTAGGGGCATCTAGGTGGTGCAATGGATAAAGCACTGGCCCTAAAGTCAGGAGGACCTGAGTTCAAATCCAGCCTCAGACCCAACACTTGACAGTTACTAGTTGTGTGACCTTGGGCAAGTCACTTAACCCCAACTGCCTAAAAGCCAAAAAAAAGAAAAAAAAAGAACCCTTTATTTAGAGCATCCAGGCCCATCAATAAGACGTGAAGGCAACTACTCTCATCTGAAAATGATTGGATAAATGCAATGATCAACTATGTCTCTATAAAGAAGTATGATGACTATCATGACAGAGAGGTGATGGACTAGGGGTACAGAATGAGATATTTCTGGACGTGGTCAATGTGTGGATATGTTTTGTTTGACTATACTTATCTGTTACAGGGGAGGCTTAAAATAATTTTGAAGGGTGCACTGGGAGAAAGGACAGTTAGTTATAATAATGTCAAATAGTGTCACAATAAAATCCACAATAAAAAGGAATTGAGGCACAAAGATCTACATGTGCCCAACTTATTAACTAGGCTAGCAAAAGTCAATAAACGGGATCCAAGACTGCTCAGTAGTCAAGGGTGCATTTGGCACTCAGAACAGCTCTTTTAGGCAGCTGAAAATATAGGTTACATAGAGTACAAAAATAGTCCAATGATGCAAATCACATCTGAGACTGTGATTGGTCCAACCCAGAGACGGAGGTTGGGCTATGCTCAGCCTGACTTAGAGAGGAGATTTCTATAACCCAGGGCAACAGGAAAAATAAACCAGTTAAGTTACCATCCCCTGGAAAACTTTATAGTCAGCAAGGTTCACAGATTAGCATTTTTGTAGCTGAATTTCAGCCCATAAGAATAGGTACGTTAAACTTATTACAAACTTTATTAATAGGGCCTATACAATCAAGTCTAAATTTAATCCACAAATATTGATTCCGATTAGATACAATGATTAGATATAATTCCCAATCAATAACAATTTCAATTTCACAATCTCCCCCTTTGATCCTTGAAAGACCTGTCTTTCATGGATCATTAACTCTGAGCTCTCTTATGACTGGCGAGTTGACAAAAACTGGTGGGGGCAGTCCCCTTCAGTAAAGAGATCTCACAGAGGAAATGCCACATTGGGAGGTAAGGAGAGAAATGGGCACTAACTTATAACATAGATGATTTCATTTCAAGTACATTTATAATATCTTATTAAAACTAAGAGACATTAGTAATAACTAAACAGTAGTGAGAAGGTATTCAGCAGTATCATATTTAATGATATATTAAGGAATTGAACTGACTTTGTAGTGAGGATGTTGCTAGAATCAACTGCGTGTAGGAGGAAAGAGATCTTGGTTAGCTGGGTAGGTGTTAGTACCACTATCTCTTTGTAAAGATTCTCTCAGCACAAGAAGGAACAGATCCAAGTTCCTTCCAAGTCTGAAATCTATTGAGATCACTAATCCTTTTATTTTTGCTGGGAATCACGAGGGTTAGGTATTTCTTTAGATGACAAGCTGGGCAGTTGGGCACACCAGTTTTAGTAACTATACAGTCATTATTTGTAGCACATGAAAAACAATATCATTTTTTCCTCGCTTTATAGAAGAAAGTCCTATAGTTCCCATAAGTGAGAACCCTATAATGATAGCAAGAAGCTTCATTCCCATGGATCACACAAACTCTTTGAGGCAGCAGCTCTACACTCAGATGTGGGGGTTTTGTCAGCACAGTTGTGAGGTGTGGGAGTCCTCTTAGACCAAATGAGGTGGAGGAGGAAATACTGATGGAAATTGATGACATCAGTCCTGGGGTGTCGATGGTATTGTTATCTTCATCTGTATACTCAGATAGCTAAAGGTGATCACAAGGAAAACATATACTAACAGATCTTGAAGAGAGAAGTATTATTAAAATGGATTACAAATACAAAGTCAGATGGGACAATGGTAATTTCATAAGTCACTAATCAATCCGTCAAACTCATTCCAATGTTCTAAAGTTTGTATAACTAGTTGTGCCAAAGAACTGGCCTGATTCTGAAGGGAGTTGATAGACTCAAGTTACACCAAAGTCAGTTTCCCAATTTCCAAAAGAAGATTTTCAATTGCTTGTATTTTAGCAGAGGACCCAGTTGGTTGCAACTCATGGTCAGGGAATTTCAGGTCAGTTAAATGGCTCACAGGTGAAAGGTGGGCAGGTCTCTTGCTCCTTTTGCATTTATGACCTCTAAGAGTCATGCCCAACCCATTACATGTCTATCAGCAACACTAAGCACCTTTTCCTAGTGAGCCTATTGATGATACGATCATTTTCACTCCTGTATGAAATATGTTCTTTCTTGCAGCCCTTCTAAAGACTTAGCAGTTATCACAAGAAAAGACCCCATAATGATGACCTATAGCTTCATTCTCTTGTAGGGGATGGACTGGAGCTGGGTATTGGAAAACAAGCGTCTTTCAATAGCTCTTTTGTTCTTCAGGTGAGAGATGTCATCAGGCTGGCATGAGTTTTCAGACAGAGGTATGACTTTGAAAATTGGAAAATCCATGTCATAAGAACAATTGGGTTACAATTTTTTATGGCGGAATACCATAAAGCAAAATACAAATACAATGATCAACATGTGATTCTTATAAATTCATTTAGATGAACTGCTGTAAGTTTCTTTGGGACTAAATTCGAGCACAGGTTAGAACATAAGCCAGTGCAGCAATTAATAAAATGGGATTGCAGTCATGAGGCATAAGATTAGAAGTCCCCACTTGATTAAGGTGTAGAATGTAATTCTTTCCTGAAATCAAGAAAAGATCCAGGAAAACCAGGAAGAGGGGTCTCGCCAAGCTCTATAACTTGTACACACATATGTCTCTTTAGCAATCCACTGAATGTCAGCCATAATGTGTTGGAGTTCATGAATATTTGTAACAACCTCTCCTGACTTACTGATATAAGAGCAACAGGACTGGTTAATAATAGCACAGGCCCCTCCCTGGGCAGCAATCAAAAGGTCTAATGCCATGCAGTTTTGGAAAGCTATCTGTGTCATTGAATTAACTTCTCCCTGAAGAAAAGAGATAGCTTTAAATATCTGAGAGATGGCTTGGACTGTGTCCTGGAGAAGTTTTCAATTTCAGAAGAAATGATTCTAATGCCTTTCATTAAATACCCCATTCCAGTGGTGGGAAATAAAGACCAAAAAACCCCCCCAAAAACAAAAACCCCAACCCTCTGGATATGACTGGAGGTAGCCACAAAGTTTGGGTATGTATTCTTCTGACCTTTTCTCACATTTATGCCACCAGGCTCCTAAGTTTCTAGTAACTTTCCCTTCTATTAAGCCTATGAAATGATTAAAAACTGATACATGTAGGACTACATAAGCAATTCTGCATGTCCCAAACCACCCTGGGGGAACAGAAGCAAAGACTATTCTAGAACAAATGATGAACTGGCCTTGACTCACTAGTTCCTATGCTAACTGCTGGATATTTTTGATTGACTGGAGAGATCTGACCATTTTAAGCAAGGGTCATAAAAGTAAATTCTGGGGGTGAATCACCAGCGCCATAAAAGGAACAAGTTTTAGCATAGATAAATGAATTTGCCTTATTAATGTCAGGAAAAGGAAGAGTGATGGTACAATTTATCTGGTTTCCCAAATTAAAAGGGGTATTCTCACTCTCATTTCTCCTAATACAAAGAGGAAACACTAGTAATGGCTGTATAAGATTGAGTGGAGGAATCCTATTTTTATAAATTCCAAATATCTCACTAGTTTTCAATGTTGCATTGAGTTTAACTGAAATCTGAGACTCCTTAAGGGGTTTGAATGTCATGGGCACTGTAACATTCCATTCTGACCAATCCCAATCAGTCTGGTTAATCTTACAATTTGCAAAGATGAAAAGTGCAAATGGTCCCCCAAAAGAGAGATTGCTTTCTTCAGGCGCCAGCTGAGGCATAATTTCAGAGACTTGGACAAGATCTCTCTGGTGGAGATGATGACAAACCCAACACCTGTGAGATACAATAAAGCTAGGGGGATATGGGTTCTAATTGGCTAGGTAGGTGAATGATAGAATTCTTATTTAATCTAATCACTAGTGTGAGCAGAGAGGGCAATGGGCAATAACACTAGAATCATCATCAGATAGAGGCTAGGAAGTCTGTACTAAACAACAAGATCACTGAGATAAATATCAACACAGAAAGCAACCATTTTCATCCAAAGAAGCCTATTCCCCCAAGGGAGGCTACTTCCTGCTAAAATTACAGGAGATGCAAAAGTGGAAGATGAGAGAATGCTAGAAGTAGTTACTGAAGGTATAGAAAAAGAAAACTTAGGGGAAGTGGTTGGCTCACTAAAAGCAGGAAAGTCAAGCCCCCAAACACTTCCAGCTCTGGTAGATCTGGGGGCAGGACTAGCTGATGTAACAGTAGGTCAGTGAGTTGTGGGATGGCAACTCCTAGCTCTGGGATTAGTTCTACAAAGCAGGGCAGGATTCTCAAAAGTGTACCCATTGTAGTAGTAGAGACAAGTTTCACCTGGTCATTTCTTTGGCCTACTCCTGAAGGAAAAGGAGAGGACTAAGGGCAAGAGCGCTAAGATCAAACCAATATAATAAGGATTAAAATGCCAGATGGTTGTTCTACATAGGCCTTGAGGTAGCCTATGCTCATCAAACAAGGAGGTGCTTTGCAGTTCCTCTGAGTCCTCATCAGTTGTAATTATTGTTGGATAATTAGGGTTAGAAGATGGTCTGGGATCCTTTAATTCATTTATTTTAGAGAGGCAGTCATCTATCTCCTTCTTAAAATCTATCTCCACTACCTTAGAGAAGTGCTCATCTGCTTCCTTCTCAAAGTAATTCTATTCATAGTGGGTACAGAGAGTAGGAGTCCAATTGCAGAATAGATGACTCATTGCTTAGTTCTCTTCTTACAGCAACTATAAATCTTTAAAAGTATTAGACTGATGATGATGGCCAATAATAGTGCTGGGACCCACAGAGGAAAAACACTGTTCATTTATTTCCCCTGGGAAGGACAAACTGGGCAGTGGAAGTTCTTCCTACCTGATGTTATAGAAGTTGGGGTCATAAGAACTAGTATTGTCATATCCTAAGTAGGATTGGTTTGTATAACTTTTCCCAGAAAATGATGTCAGTACTAGAGGTATCTAGAAATCCTGCAGTAAGGATAGAAGGCGGAGATGTAGACCTGAGGGAGGGAGGTCCATGGCCAGGTCACCTTTTGGTCCAGATCCTGGCCAGTACAACCAATTGCTGGGATTGTAGATCAAAGCACCCTTCCATACTGGTCAGCATTAGAGGGATGGACCACAGCAAGCAAAGGGCACCATCCTCAGAATTAAGAGAAGGATATGAGGAAGAGGTATCCTGGGTTCTGGTACTGCTCTGTGCATTTTACATATCATAAAACCAAGGATCATAAGGCCTATTATACATAACAAGATATAGACAATCCATACTCCAATATGCTCTTTTGGTTTTCCACTTTCTGAGGGACTAACTTATTATGATTTGAGAAAGCAACAGGTAGTATTAGTAAGATTAGACAAAGTAAGAGGTATATCATGTAAGGGGCAGTTTTCACATATGTGCAGTGGATCCATGACTCTTCTTCGCCAATCTTGATTGGAGTCAGAGCAGTCAGCAGTACTTGGAACAGGCCTTCCCAAGTGGTTTGAGTTCCTCTGGTCCGCTGGAAATTCTTGATGTAAGCTTCATCTCCAGGGTGGAAGTCATGCAGAGAAGGTCGAAAGGCCCAGTCTCTACTGCAGCTCTTTTGTTGTGAAGCTCTCTCAGTCTATTTTGCAGTTCCCATACATAAGAGGCAACAGAAGTGTCTCCTCTCAGTAATAAAGTATATACTATGGTGAAAAGTTTTGCTTTTATGGGAGGATAGCCAAAAAGCATTTCATAGGGAGAGACATGTAATTCCCTCCCTGGTCTGTTGCACAGATGGAAAAAGAGCAAAGGACAGAACATGTGGCCATTTCAGGTGGGTTTCAGAGTACACTTTACCAATAAGAGTTTTAAATTCCTTATTCATGCATTCTACCTGACTTGAACTTCGGAGGTGAAAAGGAGTATGGAATTTAGAAGTTATTCCTAGGTTGGAATAAATTTGAGAGAACACAGAATCAGTAAAGTGACTACTTCTATCTAAATTTATACAGGCAGTTGGACCATTCTGAGGCATTATTTCTTTAAGGAACATTTTGGCAACAAAGGCAGCTATGGCTTTGGAGCCAGGAAACAAGTGAATAAGCTGATCAACAATAACAAGGCAAACTCAATAATGACCAGCATTAGAGATGCAAATGAAATCAATTTGCAAATCTTCATTAAGGATACATAAACTAAAGGTCAACCATTAAAAACAGTGGCTTGCAAAGTACATTAGTTAATGCTGAAATTGAGGTGATGTCTGGAGCAACCCAACCCCTTTCAATTGTATCTACAATTCCTTGTGAGCCAAAGTGGCAAAAAAAAAAAAAGTGACACAAGGTCATACCTGGTGATAGAAACTGTAGGGGAGGAGTGGCTTACCTTCCTTAGTCACCCAGACCCCAGACACCTGTTTTGCCTGATACTGTTGTCTCCATTTCTCGACCCTGGAGTCACTGTACAGGAGAGAGTGCCATTATTCAGTCCCAGTGGGAGGGTGGTCATCAGGAGTTGAGGAGGCCTTCAAATGAAACACAAGAGCTAGTCCCTCTAAAGCAGCCAACTTTGCAGCTTCATCTACTCTACTGTTGTCTTGGGAAACAGGATTAGTGCCACAAGTGTGTGCAAAGCTGTGGACAATAGCAAGGGGCTCTGGCAGGTGAATGGCAGACAGAAGGTCTTTGGTGAGTTCTGTATTAGCAATATTCTTACTGGAGAAGATGAGAAAACCCTCGTTGTAGCCAGAGCATTCTGATGGACGGCAGATCCAAAGGCGTATTGGGAGTACTGCACTTTTACTGACAGCAAGGCAGCATGTCTAAGTCAAAGCCACCAATTCAGCTTAAGCATTAGATTTCATGAGGCTGCCCAAAGGGTGTCATGGTCAGAGACCACACCTGCACCAGTATAGTGAATACTATCTCTCATAAAAGAAGAAACATCAGTAAGAGAGAACATAGTTTAAATTCTGGAGGGACGTACTGGTAAGTCATAATGGAGAGGACTGGCCAAGTCCACTACAGAAGCACAGTTATACAAGGGGTCACTGGAGACAGCAAGATCAGGAAAGAGAGAGCTGCACAACCAAGAATAGTATAGCACTTAAGAGTCACATTTTCCCGCCCTAGTAATGTCACTGCATATCTTGCTAGTCTTTGATCTGAAAAAGCCTGAATTCAATGGCAAAACAAGAGGCCTTCAACCTTATGGGGGTGTTGCACTGTTAAGGAGGTACCCAGAACTAAACCACAAGTCTTTTCTATCAGAAGGGCAGTAGCGACCACGGCTCTTAGATGGGGTAGGATCCCCGCAGCCACAGAATCCAGT